TTTTTTTTTTTTTTTTTTTTTTTTTTTTCGTCAATACTGCGGATATTTTTTAAATTACGATAATTTTTGTTATCGTAGGGATGGCTGTGAAATTATCTCAAAATTACCTGAATATTTTGTGTGATTTTCTTTTAGCCCCGATAATCGACTCAGGATTCGATTATTTTATATTTTTTATCTTTTTTTGCCATTACCATGGATATTTTTTAAATTACCATAATTTTTATTATCGTAGTGGTGATTGTGGATGTAGTGGAGACTCAATGATCATTTCCTTTTCAGAATTATCAGAATATTTTAGGCAATTTTTATTTTTACTTTCGAAAAACGACTGGATATTCAATTATCCTTTTATATCTATTTTTGTCAAGATGGTGGATATTTTTGAAATTGCGATAATTCTTTTATTATAATGGTGACTGTCTGTTTCGTCTGGTGAATTTCTCTTTTAATTTGGACTTCGATTGCTTTCCTTTTTCCCTAATGACTTTAGATATTTTCAGTTGACCTGAGATTCGATTTTCAATTATTTGAGATATTTTTAAATTGCAATATTTAAATTTCACGAAGATTTTAGATATTTTCAAAACGTGAAGCTATTTCCTTTTCAGCGATGACCTGAGAGCTAACGATTCCTATTTTGTTCTTACCTCTTCCCTTTATTTCGAATGACCACTGTAGATATTTTCGAAACTTGATCTGAAATTCGACTTTTCCCTCCCCGTAACGAAGAATCCCCATGAAAACCATAAACCAAATCCCGATAATTTCTGAAAAACCCCGTAAAACACTGGATACGAAATGGTTTCGAGTAGCGTATCTTCTAGAAGCACCAGATGAATTTCGAGTCAACATTGACATTTCCAGCTAATCCTCATATGAAAGATAAGTTTCCACTTTCAGCTAAGCCCTCGGCAACGATCAGACAGACCTCGTAAACCTCCCTAAAACTTCGGCGAATATTCGTTCCAGCACCGGCAAAAACAAAAGAAAAAAGGAAGAAAAATGGTAGTGGAACGAAAAATTCAACGTAACAATGTACTAACAGGCTCGCGAACGTTGCACGTTCACCAACACCAATGGGATAAAACAATTTCCTCCGTCGATCGGAATTGCACGTAACGAGGCCGAGGCATTACCCGACAATGGTGCAAGGAGCGGATCCAGGGGCTGCGAGCAGGGTTCGTGCATGGTCCTGTCGCTACCCTGGAATTTTATGCGGTTTTTAAAATGCAGCCTGGCCAACAGGACTGTCAGACCAAGTCATAGTGTCTGCAGGCACACTTACAATCATAGGAGCGTGTGCGACAGGGATAGAGCATTCACGAAGAGTTCAACCCTTTGACTGTCACATCGAAATCACATGTTTCGTTCAGAATGCCACGGAAGTATTTTCATTGTTCGAAGCTTATAATGGCAAAATAATAATAAATCGGTGATATCAGACAACATTCTCACACAATGCAGCGTTTATCTTATTGGCAGTCACGGGTGACCACTGAGACGCCTTGGTAACGGTTGACAATTGACTAAC